CTTCCTCGTGCTAATATTCAATTAAAAATCGGAATCTAGTTCAGAACTTCCTTCATTAAATAAATTTAAAGTAGGCTTTAATAATCTTGCAACAAAAATACAATAAATAAACCATTAAGCAGTTTTGTACAATAGAATGACTGAATACAATATTAGCACTCACAAGATTTTTTTCAGGTTTTGTATATTTAATTAGATACCGAAACGAGAAATAAAGAAAAAAATATTCGAAACAACCAATGAATAAAATAAATGATTTGCTATCTTGTAAGTGTAAATACCCATGATAGCTGCTTATTTGCTTAAACATTGAACTATCTTTTTGCGAGATTATTTTGTCTTCCATTTGTTATCAATCTAAACATCGAATAATTCGAAGATCAATAGTATAAATAGGGAATAATTCTTTAATGAAAGAATAAACTTGAAAATTGGAACAATAGAATAAATTCTGACGAGAAAATAAATTGAAAATAGTAACCCGGAAGCTTCCTTCATTTTAGTCATTAACGCAAGTTATGTTTAGCTTTGCACGCTGAACCATCTATAGAGTAAATATAAAATTTAATCTATCACCAGAAAAATTTTTTGGTTCAAATTATTATGTTTTCGCAAACTAATATTTAATTCTAATAGTCTGAGAGACACCCCTAAAATATATTAGTTAATAATTACAGTAAATAATTTAATCAGTACTATCTATTAATTCATTAACCAAATCAAACTCAAAAACTAAACTGTTTTCACTAAAAGAAATATGTATTTTCCTTGAGGGATTTGAATTACAGACTTTCAAATTATAAGGGTTGTCACAATATAGAAAACATGTTCACATAATCCATTTTATTTTAAAAAAATAAATAAATATGTATACTCTCTAATGGATTAAAAATAAAAAGTTCCTGTGAACAAAAATAATGTTGACGTATGCCTGTTTAGGCAGAGGGGGTGCGATTGTTCTTGTTTTCCAGTAGCGCCATCTATGGCCAAGAATTCGACTTCTGCCACACCGCACCCGTTTATAAGGCGGACATATCTTACATCCATTCATTCATCCACAGATCGATCTCCAATCCAGTACTCCCAGAGGTTTTGATTTGTTATGGGAACATGGAGGACTTTTGCGACTCGACAGATTTAACGTGCATCAGTCACTTTACTACACGGGGAGTCATCGGCCCGCGGTCGAACCCACGAACTCTCGAACATGGGCCCAGTGCCCTACCGACCAGGCTATCCCGACCCAACAAAAATAATACCAAGTAAATTTAAAAAAATGACAAAATTATTGCATTTTAGAAAATATTAGTAAAATGTTTCTAAGATGTCTCTGTTTTAATGTGACTTGCTACGAAATGCATTTTTTTTAAAAGTTGGTTGAATAATTTTGAAACAATAAATAAAGGAAGATCTTCCTCTCCCGTGGCTATCTACAGCTTCATTGAATAATTGCTTCCTTAGTGACTCTGATGACCATGTAGATAAAATAAGCACCGACGGATTAAAAAATGCTATTCGTATGTAATCTTTACAGACCACCGTCAGTTTGACGAAGAGCCGAGGTTCGATTTAGTGTTACTCCAATTTAAATATAAGGTACGGAGTACCTAGCCCAGAGGGCTATCTGCTCTTTCATCTGATTTGAATAATATTAAAATCAGAGGAAAAGAATGAGAATCGTGCGTAATGTAATGTAACGAAAATATAATAAATTACAAGATAATAAAAAAATAAACTGGGATAAGAGAAAAATACTATTTATAATATTTACATGTATACAATTTATATGTAATTGCTGAAGAAATCAACGAGCATCTCGAATTCCAGCATCGTTCCCTTGCCTCCTCTTTACAGCGCGGAGTGATACAGTTCATGTTAATGTGTTGAGTAAGTTAATTTGAGGAATAGAAGTATTTAGATAATGCTTTGTAATTTAGAAAAAAGACAGAGGGAGGACTAAATTTGGTATTTTCCTCAATTAAAGCGAAATAGAAGATTTGATTGAAATCAAACTTTGTGCATTTGGTTGCTTCCCTAAAGAAGGCTGCGTTTAATCTTCGCAGATAGTTGTTTAAATTTTCAATCTTTAGGTCATTATGTTACGTTTACAAATCAGGGTGCACCTGTCATCCTTCTTTAAGTTTTATTCTCAAATATGGGTAATTTTCTAGTCCGAGATAGCCTGGTAGGCAAGTCGAATCCAGCCGACCGAAGACTTCCCGTGTAGTAAATAGTGACCGGTGCACGAAACTCTGTCGGTTCACGAAGTCTTCTATGTTCCCATAACAAATTATACTTCTCGCGGGTACTGAATTGGAGATTGACCGTTCTCTGATTCAGGTCAAATTTACGATCTGTGGATGCATGAATGGGTCTGCCCAATAAACTGGTGTGACGTATGGGTGAGGCAGAAGTCGAATTTTTGACCACAGATCGCACCCCTTGCCTCAATGGCCTTCGAAAGTGAACCCCAAGCTGAGGAGGCGTAGCATAATATTGGGAGAATTCACATTATATAAATATTCCTTTTGGTGTTTAAGGCCATCTTAGTATTTTGTGATAAAATTGGTCAAAGTGCTTGATAGGCAGCTTCAGCTTTCCTGATAATATTTGTTATGTGTTTATTTCAGTTTAGGGTATTTGTTAGCGAGATGCCTAAATATTTAGCACTAGCGGCTATTGGGATTTCTTCTTCAAATAAAGTGAGCTTATTGTTATCTTTAATCTTTCTCTTATGGTTTGTTCTAATTATGAGAAAGTTCTATTTTGATTTTCCACTGAGAGCATTTTTTTATATGGAGTCTAATTGATCTTGAATTTTATTCATAGCTCGATTTGGAAAAATTGTTACTGAGTGTATTCCTGTGTCGTCAGCGTAGAAGGCAGTTTGCATATTTTTATCGCTTCTTTCAATGGGTAATTCCGTACTATAAATGAGAAACAGTATTGGGCCTGCTTTTATATATCTATTGGTTGAAGTTGAGTCGTTTACTCTAACACGAAAAGTTTTTTTGAGAAAGATAGTTGTTGAGTCCTATGTGTCAAACCTTATCCAAGGCCTTTGCTATGTTTAAAGTTAGTAGAGCAGAGGCTTATCTTTGGCACAATCCTAATCAATTGTTTTGCAGTTGATAAATTATTTCTGTAAAATAGTGATACTGATGCGTAAATTTTAAATTTTAAAAAAAATTTTTGTTTGTTGATGAAATCCATTTCCTAATTTGAAATTATCGAAGCGAAAATGAAATTCGTTTAAAAATTTCATCGAACAAAAATAAAAGATATTCTCCCGGAGTAATTTATCGGTAATTTAATTTCAAAATTCTTTTTATTGGAATCTTTAAATAACTTCCTAAGGCATTCGGGTCGTTTTAATCAAATTTTACTTGAACAAAGGAAAATATCTTCAATTATTGAAAGACTATTTACTTTTTTGATAAATTTATCCAAAATAAATGCAGTTTTAAGATAGAGAAGAAACAAATAAAAAATTCTCAATTTGATGCAATACTACCTTTATGTTGTTTATCAAATTTTGAAGTGGGGAATCCATAGCTTTTATGGTTTATCAGAAAATTTCATTTAAAGTTATTTTTGAAGTATTTAAGATCATTTCTAAGTGAAGTGAATGCAAAAATCGAAATTGAGTCCATCAGAAAAATTTTACAGTTTCAAACCTGACGTTGCTGTTATCTACTTTCCTTTAGACAAAAAGAAATAAAAGTTTATTTTATATCATCAATCCTATTTTGAATGCTCCCAGTCTCGCACTTTTTTTAACCCTTTGACACAGATGAAACATTGGTGTCCCTGTTATATATTTTTTTCTGAAAATTTCACCTCTAATTACAAATGCAAAAAAAGATTTTGGTATTTATTATTATAAAAAGTCTAACAGTTACTAAGAAAAACTCGTTAGATTATTGAAGATTATTTGTACTAAAATATAAAATTCAAAAACATTTCATATTCAAAAAATTATCATTAATTAATTTTGTAAATTAATTCAATTTTAATGATGAATAATTGCTTCTCTTAGATCTAAATATCTACCAATATTTGCAAATTAGAAAAATTATTGTTTAGAAGTGAGCCGTGTTTATACATAAAAGAATATTTTCAACACCAGTTATAAAATACTCCTATGATATAATGGAATGACCATGTGATTCAACCACGAAACACTAACTAAGGTTTAAAAATTACTCTATTATTCATTAGTTTTTCTAAATTTTCAACATAAGCTTACAGTTGCAGTAGACACTAACTGCAGATCAACATCACATTCCTTGCTGACGATACAAAATTAATATTTGTTGCGGAATGTTAGATATAATTCTGTTCCTTTGGGTTTTACCAGGTAAAGCTTATCTGTGAAAATGAAACTTCCTTTGTAACTCTGAAATGACGCATCTTTAGAAGATAGCCTTAAATCAGGTTTCATTTGTTATAAACTGAATTGTACGTAGCTTAAACAGGGAACTTTAAATTATCTTTTTAACTTATCTATCTTCAAATTGACTTGAATGGAACTTTAAATTAGCTAGACTTCAAATTGAAAGTGCTCCTTGAATTTCTTTACTGATAAATTTTGCGACTAAAAAGGGAGGTGCCCTAACTGAGAGGTACAAATATCTTTTAAATCTGGAAATAGGCGCATTTCATTTTAAAAGCATCAAAATGAAAATCAAATATTTTTTAACTTTTTTTGCCTGTCTTTTTCTACAAGCAAGTAAGTTATATTTAAAGATGCGTGATTTATTTTGCGAAATAAAAAGATGAAATAATTATTAANAAGATGCAATAATTATTAAAATTAAGAAGAATTAAATAAATATAGAAATTTAAAATTAAATTTTCAAATAATAGAGATTTAAAAATTAGGGTTTGAGATAAGTTCCTAACATTGATTTAATTATTTTCATATGTCATTTTATTAAAAATTTGATTAAATTAAAATTAAAAATTTGATTAAATTAAAAATTTGAAAAAATTTAAATTAAAAATTTGATTAAATTAAAATTAAAATTTTGATTAAATTAAATTAAAAATTTTGATTAAATTAAAATTAAAAATTTGATTAAATTAAAATTAAAAATTATTCAAAAATAGTTTTTTACATTTATTTTTAAAGCAGAATTTTTTTTCAGAAAACCACTTTAGCAGAAATTTATTTCCTCTTTCAAAATGCAATAATTGCATAATTTGCAAAAATCCAAAAATTTTCATTTTCTCTATCTAAATTTTTAAAAAATAAGACAGAAATTATTCATATTTTAACATTAAGATTTAAGTTATTTTAAAATACAAATTGTAACTAATTGCGTTCATACTAGTGAATTTATCAACAGAAAATAAATAAAATTAATGTCAGGAATTATATAAAAAATAATGTAATGTATTTTAGATATTGTAACTATGTTTAGATATTGTATTATATTGTAAATATTTAGCAAAACTAATTATAGAAGAAACTAAACAAAAAATATCTCTTGAAAAGTCTACGACTTTCCGAACGAAACTAATTTAAGATCTGAAATCCCCGAACCCGAAACCTTTTGCCTACGTCGCCTGGTAGCACAAAAGTTAAGTACGATTAAATACTTGTATACATGTAACAAAAAAAATTGCTCTTCGGTTTTTCCTATTGTCAAATTCCTATTACATTATCTAATTAAAAATAATTTTTTGCACTTGCCGATTAGTCAATAACGCTCCTGGTCATAATTTGAAATGGCAGAATTTCTTTTTAAATTTTTTTTACTGATAAAAATTATTTGCACATATTTTTCATTTTTCTATATTATCTTTGCGAAGCAAAACATACCTGTCTACCATGTTATAAAATATCAAATACAAATTTTGGCAGATGGATATAAACTTCAACACCTAATGTTTTTGGGAATAATTTTTTCGTGTAGTGAAGAGATATTGCAGAAATTTATAAAATATATTTTTAAACAGAGGAGACGAATTTATTAAAGGTTTAACAGAAAATATGATCAATTGTCACTCTAAACTCGAATATATATGTTTAAGTGATTGAAAAGCAGAATAAGATAAAATTCTTTAAAAATGCTAATTTAGAAAAACATCAATTACATATATTTTGAGGCGCAATGGCTCAGTGGTTGAGGCATTAAGCTGTCAATGATAAAGTCTGGAGTTCGATTTTATGAGGTGACATGACGCCCAATCAGCTTCAGATCGATGGGTAGCAGCTTGTCTAGGAAGCAAAAGTGGCCTGACCACAGTCATACCGTTGGTCAAGAAATTGTGAAGTTCCCAATATCCAATATATATATATATANCTGGAATTTGCACTGAATTATATTTTGACTCTGAAAAGCTGGGAATATTCACGGAAAGTATATATATATATATATATATATTGGAAACTTTTAAAATCACGAAACCTTTTTAAGGAAAAACCTATGAAATGTAAAGCATAAGTTCTTGGATTAAAACATTTAACTTTACAGGTTCAGTCTATTGCCATTGCTCAGAAAGGACAGGCTTAATTGATACGATTTCAGATATCTATAGTGTGTTTGGCCATATCCAGTACTACAAATGTTGGAAAGTGTTAAATCCTGCAAAGAATATCATACACTTTCATCTCAAAGAGCTACATATAAGGAATGAGGTATAATACTTCTAATTTATGTAAATTTATAAAATTAACCACATTGTGTCTATTTCTTTACCGACTCGACAGCTCTTCGCAGTTCAAACCCTCCTTTAGAATATTTCTCTAATTTTTTTTTCCTCGCCAGGGTGTTTCAGTTGTTCACTCTCAGTACCTTAAAATCCCCATCATTGCAGTTACCCCATCTTTCTTAGTCTGGGCTTGCCTCTGGTTTGGGTTCCAGTTGGTTTAAAATTAAGGATTCTGGATGTTAAGGTGGACAGATCTAATAGGCAGATGTGTCCAGAAAATATGATGTGATTTACTTGGATGTACTGGTAGATGGTATCCACCTCTCTATACAGCTTGTACAGTTAATCATTGTATCTGTGAAAGCATGTATCATTGATATACACTGCATTGAGAATACTTTTCAAAACTTTAGTATATAAATAGCAAAATGTGTCGAGCTGCTTTTTATTTTTAAAAAATTTATTTTATTCAAATACGAAAAAGTGTGGTTTGATTACTGTTACAGTAAACCGTTATACATAATTTAAGAGACTTCTTTGAAATATTGCTACAACATTTTACAAAATCCCCTTAACTGTTCAAAAGTTTTATGAAAAATATAGATATTTATATTTGGATCTGTAGTCAAAACACAGTACTTATTTTAGTCTAAAATGGCTGGTAATAGCATACCTGCCAACCTTTACGCATTTGGCGTAAAATTTTATTTTTATATTTAAAGTGGTTGTAAATATATACTATTTTTTCTCTTATAAACTTAATTTTTAAATGATTTTTTCACCATTATTTTTAAAAAACTTACGCATATATATTAATATGCGTTACTCTCAACGATATCAGCTCAAGCTATTTCAATTACAACGTATTTCGTTGCTTAAAATTGAAATTTTAATTCCATTTTAATACCATTGGGAAAAATCATAACGAAAGGGATTAAAAGTTGGCAGGTATGTAATAGAAATAAATACTTACTTGGTATGAACAAATGCATACTACCACTTTTTGCGAGCAGGTGTTTTTCATGCATTTTGTGTCGGGAATTAGTGGGTTAATTAGGCACCAAGATGAGTTTGGAGCCCTATTCTAAATCATCATGATTTCTAGAGCTGCTAATCATTACGATTTTTGAAAAAATATTTTATCGACAATTAAAAATTAAAGCTTTCGGAATTGTACGTAATATTAAAAGCCTCACTATAAGAGAATTGGAACAAAGCTCTTTGATCATTTTATTTTACGACTTTAAAATCATTTGCATGTAATTCTGTGGTAAGATAGTTTTAAACCAAATTTACAAACAAAATATTCCTACAAAAATATTGTAAATGAACTCGAAAAAGACGATGAACAGCAGCATCTTCAGTCAATGGCATTCTTACAATATTGAATTCCCAGCTCTCGGTTTTGATTTCTTTTTCATTTACGATTATTTCGTAGTATGTTTAGAATCCCAGTCTTTGGATTTCCACCATATAATGATATCAATGCTTAGGTGTTAGATTCTTTCTATTTTTAAGTGTTCCTATTTCTTCTCTATTTTTTTTTGCAATTTTCTACTAAAAACTAAAGCTTTAAAAAGTTTCCTTAATTTTGCCAATCTGGAACAAATTGAGTTTCATATAAGCTTTTGAATAATTTTATGTCCTGCAGTGTACTGACTGATCGTTAAGACACGGTTCCCATCAGATCACCGAAGTCTAGCATCACTGGTTGCTGTCAGCGTGAGGGTGGGTGACCACTTGGATCAGTATGCGTAGGGACCGCGGGTACGGTATTGGTCCTCGTTAAACTGTTCTACAGTAAAGTGCTCGACTTCGCGTGCAGGTCGTCGGACGGGGGTGCCATCTCCTCTGCAGAGGATCAAAATTATGATTGCATGTCTTCGGATCATTCTCAGGGATGTTTCCCAGACCGTCACCAATAGCCCATTGTGCTGCTCTAGTACGACGTAAATGAACTACAACAAAACAATATTTTTACATGTAGTGATGAGAAAAATGACTTTAAATTCGATTTTCAAAACAAGGAATCATACACTCAAACATAATATTAGCTACCACTGGAAGAAATTTTTCCAAAATGCGTTGAAAGTTTACAGTCCTAAAAATTGTTTCATTAAAAAATATTAATTTACTGAATGATTAGTTTTTATTACCATTATTTCTCTGATCTCATTATTTATTATTTCTTGACCGCCCAGGATTTTAAACGCGTAATTTCAAATCAAATATCAATTTCTTATATTATTTATGTATTTTGATGAACACGCGTTCAAACGAAAGAAAAAACCCGTCTCTGTTTAAACGAGATAAATTTTCGAAAATGAAATAGTAGAGTTATACATTCATAAGAAATATTACACTAGAGTCTTGGGTGTTTAATGGGTTAATAAATTTGTTCAATGTCAATCATGAAGTAAAATTAAGAAATATATATGTTCTTCATCAACCCTTTAGTTTTTTAAAGAACTCGAAATCTTTTAACTGATAATTATTCAAATATTGAAAGATACTTATATTAATGATTTGTCTTTTCAGCCCCAAACAGTGGGAAATTTAACAATAAATCTGATGGATGAAAATAAAAATATTATTTTTTGGTCTGGCTCTTCCTCTGGGAGAATTACAACTTCGTCAACATCAGTAGAAATTCGCTTTAGAGTGAATTCTAGTAAAATATCAAACCATATCCTAACCAATTTCACTTTGTTTTATACAATGGGTGAGTATTTTTTAAAATCATAAATATTATGCAAAACTATTTGTTTCAAAATAATTGTGTGACTGCAATTTCAACCGAATTTTCCAAAACTTGAAGATGCAATGTTAGATTTATGCAGAAATCAACTCGACTAGAGAGTGTGTTGTAAGGAGTTTGTTTAAGCGACAATGATTTTTTTGCTGAATTAATCTACGTTTTTAATATTTAAAAAATTTGTTTTACCTATCATTTCAAATCAATAATTCCAACCCATGAATATGATCTTCGGTTTTAAAAATTTCAATTTTAAGTATCTGCTGAGTAACATAAGTTGTTGTTTTCCTTAACTTATGTTATTCCCCAACTTTCTTTCTACACTATTTTACTATCATAGTGTAAAATTGTTTCGTACGACAACACAAGATAAATATTTAAACTAGAGATATAGATAAATGTAAGCATATACATACTAAAAATTAATTAATTAGTTTACGATTTTACAACATCAACATTTACAAAATAAATGCAATGGTTAATCACGTTTGTTTCTAAAAAGAGGAAATGCAGATACTTGGTTCCACAGAGACTCCTTGAAGGATCATGTAAAACCCCCTGTCTTTATAGAACGTTCGTAAACTTTGCCTTAGCAATCAGTTTTAAAAACTATGCAATCGAATTTCAGGAAAATTAAATAATGAAAAGACCGGAATTCCATTTAAAAAAATAGAGAGTTTACTATGCCACCATCAGAGGACGCAATATTGAACTTATCGTCTCGTATTGAACTGAATATAAACTGCTTTTTCATTCGGCAGTGCAAATCTTTCTTGACTTAGCCCTTTCTAGAACAAAGACTTTCGATGAAAATGTTTAACAAGGGCAAAGATATGGCGATTGCTAGTCTATGCAAACGATTTAAATTGTTGGAGTGATAAACTTTAGATCTTTGCTGTTTAAAGAAAAGTGGTTGCTAAACGTTTAAAAGCAAAGAGATCTACGTTTTTATTGGTTCCTGTACTAAAATCACCTGTTTAAAAAAAACAACATAATTCTTATGATGTCTGCCATTATCTGCATCAATTTGGAATCGTGAAATTGCTAGTTCATTCATTAAAAGTCAGTGTTCGCTGATAAAGAATACATAACTTACGTGACATATTTTTAAGTTCGGAGTTCAAAGTGATGAAATTAATCATCATTATCATATTTGATATAACAGAAATGGGTGGACTAAAGCTTTCTGTTAAAAATCCTTCTGGGAGAACGTATTTTCAAATATGATCCATTACTCCCACATCCGCAATCCCTGATTTAACAGAATTTAGCCTTCTTCTTTCCCTCAATTAAAGGACTTAGTAACCTTCTTTCCTGGATTTTTTTTTAACCCTTTGACGCAGAATTTTTATTAAGCATAGTTCTTATAATTTTTTTAATTATTTTAGTTTAGGTCAAAATAAGTAAAAATATATTATATTTAGAATTTTAATAATTTATGGTTATGAAATACAGCATGAAAAACATCTATATATATATATATTTCTCTTACACGGCACCAAAAAAAAGCCTCATTACAACTCCCTGAATGGCAACGTTCGAAAATCGACCAATAATTGCTGCTAAAAATGTCACATGGCAAATCTAGATCAGGTGGCTCAACATATAGCGCTTTTAAAAACGGAAGCAATAACCAGAGTGAGCACTATCAGGTTGTTCAATTCAGATTTATGCCCTAAAAACATGATAATATTTAATTTAAACTGGCTCAACATATAGCACTTTTAAAAACAGAAACAATAACCAGAGTGAGCATTATCAGGTTGTTCAATTCAGATACATGCCCTACAAACATGATAATATTTAATTTAAACTCAATTGGGTATACTATAACCTACGTCACAGGTCGTGTTATTCCTACTAAATTTAACTAGTAAACAGAATTTTCTGCGAACATGATTTCTAGCAACAAATAAACATTAAG